ATGGAAGGGCGTAACGCAAATGCGACTCAAAAAGAGCATAATATACCATCCTGCAAGTTGCCGAGTTAAGCTCCCTGGAAACAGATCTCAGTGCAAAACAGGCCGAACTTAATTTCTTTGCTAAGGCGTCGATATGCAGGTCCCGCTTTAGAGATTTATCAACAACAAGCCCCAGGAATTTCACGGAATCAACGGCCTCCATGGTATTGTTATCCAGTACTACAGATTGGAGCGAAGCTCTGTAAGATAAAACTTTGGTTTTAGAGAGGTTGAGGCACAGGAGATTTGAGTCACACCATGATTTGATGGTGATTAAGTCACTAGATACGGTTCTATGGAGTTCCGTAATATCCGGGTTGCTCCAAGTGAAACTAGTATCGTCTGCGAAGAGACAAACTTTGCCGCTAATATCCAGACTAGCAATGTCGTTAATAAATAGCAGGAACAAAATAGGGCCAAGAACTGAACCCTGAGGCACACCACATTCAATTGGTTTACAAGAGGACATGGTCGAGTCCACCCTCACAAGCTGACTTCTGTTACCAAGATAAGACTTAAACCATTCGAGAGCCATTCCTCTGAAACCGTAGAACTGTAATTTGTTAATTAAGATATTATGATTAACACAGTCGAAAGCTTTGGAGAAATCACAGAAAATTGAGGCTGTAGAGTGGTGGCAGTTCAGGCTGGAGTATACATTATTGAAAAGGGAAAACATTGCATCATTAGTACATTTGTTACTTAGGAAACCGAATTGACTGGTAGTTAGAATATTATATTTAGAGAGAAATGATAGAAGCCTCTTTTTAACCAATCTTTCTATGATCTTTGATAGCGTAGGAAGGAGTGCAATGGGGCGATAGTTTGAAGGTAGCTCCTTATCACCTCCCTTATGCAGTGGGATAATTATCGCCATCTTAAGACAATTTGGAAAAGCTCCATTTAGAAACGACTTGTTGATCAGAGTAGTAAGATGTTTTAATGTGCAATCAGGAAGATTAGAGAACATTTTGAGGGTGAGTCCATCAGTCCCAGATGAAGATTTGTTTTTAATATCTTTGATTGTACTGCGAAGCTCTGGAACTACTACAGGCGTGAAGAAGAAACTGTGTAAGTTCACCTTAGCATTCGGGAGATATGAAAGTGGGTCCTGGGAAGGAGTTAAGGTATTCACTAAATTCTTAGCCACATCAACAAAGTAATCGTTAAGGATCTCAGGTGAAGTAGGAATTTTGCTAGATGAAGAAGCCTTATTCCTCAAGTCATTAACAATTGACCATGTTTCTTTTGCAACATTTTTGGAGTTTGCCAGCCTCCTATTATAATAAATGTCTTTGGCGGCTTTTATGGTTTTCTGATAGACTTTTCGGTATAATTTTACGTAATCACTGAAGAACACGCTATCCGAGAATTTTTTTAGTAGAGACAAGGATCGCATATTTTTTCCAGAAGTACGCAAGCCACTAGTGGACCATGGTTTATGCCGTTTGACTTTGATGGGTCTGAGAGGAAAGGATTTAGTCGCCAGGTCAGATAGGGTATTTATGAATCTAGAGAACTCGGAGTCAACATCATCTGAGTGGACGACCCAGTCAACTGATAAGCAAAGTTGACTGAAATTTAAAAAATTTCCATCCGAAAATATTCTGCCCAATTTGCGGGAAGCACCCTTACGTAAGGAATTCAATGAGAAATTCGTTAATACTGCTTCGTGGTCAGAAAACCCTGCACTAAAAATAGAGCAGTTGACCAATTCTGGATCAAAAGATGAAGCGACATAGTCAATGGTAGTAGAACTAGTTTTGGTTATCCTGGTTGGAGAGTTTACATGCATCACAATCCCAAAAGAGTCGAAAATGGACTGGAGAGATTCTTGAGCAGCGCACACACAGGAAAAATTTATATTATAGTCACCACATAAAATTATTTTGCAATTCAAGGGCAAGGAGTCAAGCAAGCTCAGCAAATTCCGACAAAACATGTACGCGTCTGTGTCCGGTGATCGATATAAACAAACAATATAAAGGTCAAAACCACTATGATAGACGATGGAAAATTCAAATATTTTTTCCGATAATAAATTATCAAACTTGGTTATTGCAGTAAAGTCATTATTAGTGGACATTATCATAGTGCCTCCGTGAGATAAATTACTTCGATTAAATCTAGCTATTGAGGTGTAATTTTTGACAAACACAGGTTCATCCATATTTAACCAGTGTTCAGTAATGGCGATGATTTCTGGAAAATTAAGCTCTTCTAATAAAAGAAATAATTCATCTGTTTTGTGTCTTAAGGACTGAATATTAATAAGAAATACACTAAGCTTGCCATCGTCCAACCTTACAGAGGGTGCTTGATCCTCTGGTCGCGTCACCTTATCTAAAAATTTTTATTATTACGTGGAGAGCCACTAGAGAAATATTTGCTCTGACTTTCCCTAATATTCTGTAACCGGAGAAGTTTCTCGGACGAGAAGTAAGACCTGAAGGCGGAGAGATCAGCGTCAACTTCAGCCAGACCAATGCCATACGCGTTGTGGAAACGGAAATATAACTTCCGCAATGAGTCCAAGTCACTAGCAAGTCCCTCCGAAGCTAACATTAATTTGATGCTGGTGTTAGTGTGCCCATCAAAACACACGGTGGATGGTTGGTCATGGAGATAAGCCAGGAATAGCCTAAGAGCTTTAAGAATGGCAGGGTCTCTTAGTCTAGCCAATAAATATCGACCATCAGCTGTATCGGAAGCTCGCGATAATCGCACAATGGGTGGAGTCATCGGGTCCATGATTGATTCATCTTTTTTTCTACTTGTATCCATAACAATTTTTGTGCTGTCTAGTGCCAGGGACTTAGAAACAGCTATAGCCTCCCTGTCAGAACCAATCCTGATAGTTTTATCATCCTTAGTCGGGTTAATCGGGGTTGAGTCAGAGTTTAGTGGTCTACTTCGGCCCTCCGCAGTGTTGGGTTTGAAATGGTGATGAGACTGATGCTGTGGATCTACTGTAATTGCTGCCGACGGTGGCGATGCCTTTAAAAGTGTTGCAGATGAATTAGCAGTCTCTATACCCGTACCTGGAGGCCACATGCTTCTGTCCAAAAGCTGCTTTAGGTGATTTTTGTTTTGAACGCCAACTTTGAAATCAGTGTGAGAGCAGTCTTTATTTTGGAGCATTGGAAAGCATCTGATAAACTCCGTGGTTCCAAGTTTTTCCTTTACAAAATGAGCAAGCTGTTTTGCTGTAAAAGGATGGGGGATTTTTGACACTACCACATAATGCCAGTTTTCTTTTAGGGCGGAATTCTGAGGTGGGGGACAGACTCGGGAATCAATGACCACTTGCGTAACAGGGGATGTCTCTTCACTATCGGTCTGGGTTGAAATCGACGCTGTAATTGACTTTTTTACAGGTGGCGGGCTGCTCCTAGTAGACGGTTTCTCTTTGCCTGCTAACTTTTCCAACGTGAGCGCCATTTGGTTGACACATTTCCTCAAATCTGCCATTTCCCTTGTTAACTCTTCTTTTGAAGAGTCATGTACCTGAACCTTTATAGACTCATCATGACCGTCCATGAAGATCGACGAAATGTTGCACAAGTCTCGTTTCATTTCCCTAATTGAATGGAATAGAGATTGTTGTCCACTCTCAGAGTACTCAGAATGGTGGTTGTGTATGTCATCCACTTTCTTGGATAAGTCGCTCCACCTGGAATCATGAGCGCTTAAGGTGTCGTAGATTTCCGAAATGACCGGATGAAGTTTTTCACTGTTCTTAAGACATGCACCCAGAGCCTCTACAATTTCCAGAGGGATTTGGCCTTTCTGTAGCTGAGACACTTTATCGTGAAGATATTTTAACGTTGGAGAATCACAGACACTACAGAAAAATCTAATATTGTGATACTTTTGTTGGCAGAGCATCTTTGTTGTCATTTTATCCAGACCAGTGCAGCTCATACAGAAATGCCGGCGACATTCACCGCTACAGCGAAGTTTATACTTGTCCTTGTCAGAGGTGATTTTTTGACAGGAGTCACACTTAAACTCGGCCATTTTTGCACAAAGAAAAGCAACGACGCAAGGCTGAAGTTCAATACACGCAAGGTTCAAGTTCAATAATTTCACAGGAACATTACCGGTAAAACAGGAACTAGTTTATAAAACAGGAACTAGTTTAAAATTAATTTAGCGAAAGTACACGCACAGCGAACAATAACACTTCGATGTGTTGTTGCTTCAAAACAAAACATCAAACAAATCAAATCAAAACAAACATTCAACACCCGCAGAGCCTACGAACGGAAAAACACAACCGTCCCGTACGACTGCTGAGAATTGAATGTAAAGCACAAACTACAAAGGGACCAGACAGAGATACTAGAATTAGACCTTCCAGCCAATGACCCGGGTTTAATTAGATTAAGAATATTTTCCCGATTTAGAAACGCCAACTGTTGTTTGCCTTTAATCAAGACGTCCATCGGTCGATGAACAACCGATTCAGGGATGTTATTACACGTGCAGGTCTGGTGCAAGGACTATAGGCACATGTGCCCACGTTGCAAGTGTTATGTGGTATTTGGGATATGCACGACACGATTGCAATGTCAAGTACCCGTCGTCTATCCTGCTAGACGTTATTTTGGATGCTGCTAACAGAAACCTTCAGGCATATGTCAATCACGGCATCAACATAATTCACTGAATGAAAAATTTCAGTATTAATCATCACAGGAGCCCGTTAGTGTTTGCACCATAATTATTTAACCCTTATTAGCTTAGTGCCCAACCTTCTAATATAAATATTTTTCGCAAAAATAAGGACATATGTTCTTTTAATAATATAGCACTTTATTTACTGTGACTTATTCAAATTGCGTGCTTTGAAGGCCCTCTTATACACTTATATCATAATATACTATAACTCATCAAAAGTGTTTACATTTTCAGTTATACTATAAATGGGAAAAAATAAAACACTCAAAACAATACATGGGTATCACACGTTTTAATTTTTGAAAGTAAACCCTGCATACATACAATAATACTTTTCGAATGATATAAGCAACCTTCTCAAATAATTCTTCATGGAGGGTAGCTCATGTGCAAGTAAAAAAAGCCTCATTGTTAACACTAAATACGTTCTTACTAACTAACAGCAAGATTGTTTTGATATTGTCAATGTACAATTTGTAAATTATATATTAATGAGAATTTCATACATCTGTCAAAACTGGTATTCCAACAATAAATTGACATGTTTTGATTGTTGATTTGAACCAATCAGATTGTAACTACGCGATAATTTGCACTAGTGCAAATTATCAGATAATTGCATACTAACTGGTGCGAAAACTGGTGTTTCGACATTTTTTGACAAAAAATTTAAATTTTTGATTTATGAAATTCTCCCATTAAATTCAACTCGTGCAATGGAAATATATTTATAATTTTCGACAAATTTGCACTCATGCGTTTTTAACTGAAAAAGGCACTCGTGCACTACGTGTGTGACATATTCGAGCCAATTTCCCAAAAATTATCAATAATTTCCATTGCACTAGTTATATTACTATTGAAAATTTTCCTACTGCAAAGAAATACAAAATATTTTTCGAAATAGGCCACTTGTACATTCTAAGTTCAATGAGTGGTTCAGTTCAACTAATCTGCTGTTTGAATTTGGAATGTACAACCAGGCCTGATACAGGTGTTTCAAGAAGAGCCTAATAATACCTAAAAAACAGAGGTACAGTCGTGAGCATAAAAAGTGGGACACCCGACTGACAGGTCTTATCATTTTTCGCTATTTCGGGTAAGTCAGTCTTTTCTGTACAACGGATTTTTTTTCAAATATGACAATCCTTGTCATTGCCCACGGTGTAGCTGGTGGGCCCGTTTTACAATGGGAAAAATCGGGTGTCCCATTTTTTGTGCCTATGACTGTACATCTTTCATTTTCCTAAATTCAAACATGTCCAACGCCGCTTGATCCTATCCATTATCGCCATTAAATTTTAATTCAAAGGAAGAAGGAAGTAGTCGGATAAAGACAAAAAAAAATTGTCCTTATCCGACTACTTCCTTCTTCCTTTGAATTTGTTTGGGGACACGAACTTTTTCTACATTAAATTTCAATTTTATAAAAATGTCATATACCTATATTATATTGATATATGTATAGGTATACAGGGTATATCAGGTTTGACTACAAAAATTTTAACACGGGAAAATATGGCTCATTTTGAAGAAAAAAAGTTTAAACAACAGTCGGTTCAAACTCAACCATTTTTAAGAAAAAGGGTTTTTTGTTTTGTCATTTTTTGACGAAAATTTGAAAGATAAAGAAAATTTCAATCATTACGAGATGTAAAAAAAAATTGTTTATTAAGTAATGATGCATTTTTATTCAAAAAACAAAAGGTAATGAATATTTAAAAAAACAAAAAACATGACAATGTTACTCGTAATACGGTACCTGTCTAAACATCTGACAACATAGCACAAAAAAAGAATAGGTGGTTGAACTGATTCATTGATTCTTGATTTGCCTTGTTGTCAGTTATCAGTTACTTGAAGATTTGGAAATGCGCGCGTGATTCGTACTCTTTTGAAAATAAAATGTTTACAAATGTCGAATAGGCAGATATGTTACTTGTTTACAGAGAATCGTTACAAATGCTCATTTAGCAGCCAGGAAATATTTCTTAATAGGACGGCACTTAATGAAAGACTATTGTGCCCGTTTTGTAGAGATTGCGTGATACGGGAAGTGTAAGTGTGCAAAATGTTAATCGGGGACCTGCAAGCAAAATGCCACCTGCCTATGAAAAACATATTTTAGCGATGGTGGAAAAGAGCTCTGGAATAAGCACTTGATCTATTGCTCGATAAGCTAGATATTCCCAGTCAACAGTTCACCAGATCCGCCGACAAAATTATGCTTTACCCGTATCATGTATTAATATTTAGTTTTGTTTTTTTTTACACATATTTTATTGGTAGTAGAAAAAATTTTGTATGCACACATATGTAAAACACCTTTTTTCACTCATGTGATTTTCAAAATTCACATTCGTGAAAAAAGTTTCACTTCATACACTAGTTGCATAAATACCTATTGTGAGAATATTTATGTCATTGAATAATAGAAACAGATCGAGCGGCTAAGACATTTCCTTTCAGACCTATTTACAACACAAGATATGTTTGTATACATTTTTATAATTTACATTATCACGTCGCTTGTTTATAAATCATTAGCTTAATGAATAAATTATAAGAAAGAGTTTTTAGAGCCTATTTACAATTTAAGCCAAATTTATTAATCGTCAGCTCACCAACCTGAATAATTTTCTAAATGAAAAAGGTTAAATATTATGTTTTTATATACATATTTTATCTTGAGCTACAAGAATAATTATTTCTTTTCTTAAGTTTTTAAATTCTAGTTACATACTGACAATAGTATATTGTTTACCAAGTGACGAAAACAGCATTTTTTGCATGGAGAAAACAGTTTATCAAACGAGGCGAAGTCAAGTTTGGTAAGGTTTTCAAGTTGCAAAAAATGATTTTTAACGAGTAAAACACTATACTTTTTCTATGACCATATTTGGGTTTTTGCTGTTAAACTAATGGTTTTTTCACAAGGGTTCTTACTTGGTTTAATAGATGGCGCTCAAAAACGTGAATGTGAGGGCCAATGACCTATTAACACAGATAGACAGAACAATAAACAATAATATCGGTTGACTACATGCCAGGAACCGCATCTCTCCCCACTACTTATTATTCCTTGTGTTATTTTGTATCTTTCTCCAACACGTGGAAAGCGATTATTTTTCGATGAAAATTAGCAACGCTGCAAAAAAATAAATCCCACCTCGAATTCCACCTTTCCACCAATCAGCGGCTTCTATTCAATTGTCATGTCAAAATGCGACGAGCAGATATTTTATGACAATTTCCATTTGTCAATCAGTGCGCAGTGAGTGTATCCGCATCTTTTTCTAAAATTATGTAAAATATAAGGATAAGGATACACTTTTGTAGCACTAATTCTGATTTCATTTTCAGAGTTGCCAAGTATGCGATAGTAAAATGGGGGCGGAGCTAGCGGAATCATTTGAATCCCTACTCCTAGCCGCTTCCACAGCTCACCCCCCCTGGCCCATAAACATGTAGTCAACCAAAACAAAGCTATTTTATCAATGGGATGTTCTGTCTATCTGTGTTAATAGGTCATTGGTCACTTATAGTTGTCCGATAGGATTTTAGGATTTTAAATTTTTAGGTTTTAAGGTTTTAAGGAAAAGTTCCTGTCACGCATGTCAGATGAAAGCGGAAGGTGGATTCAGTGACAAGACCAGCATCCATGACGTTAGCCAGATTTTCGGATGCCATAATCAGTTCTCATTTGTCCTGTCAGAAGCTTTGGCCCGATAGACGCCACAAATTGGTGACCCCGACGTAATCTGAGCAGAGCTCGTGAACTTTCAGTGCTATCTTTTTGTTTGGAACTGTTTCCGGAAAGTTCCGGCGTTGTGGTGAAATGTTTGGTGCCTTTCGTGGATGTTCACGCGCGTGATCACTCTCTCCTGATCCTACAGCAAATCTCAACACTGCAGCGCAGCGAGTAGCAATGGCAGATCCTTCAGGTACCCTAGGTGGGCGTGAAATTGCTCAGGCTCGTTTAGCTAAATTAACACCTTTTTGGAAAGAAAACCCAACACTTTGGTTTTCGCAGGTTGAAGTCATGTTCGCGATATCTCGTATCACTGCGGACACTACTACATTCCATTACATTGTGGCTAACTTAAACACCGAACCACTACCTTTTGTCTCTGACATTATTACAAATCCACCTGCTTAAGATAAATATGATACTCTCAAAGAGCGTTTGATTAATTCCTTCTCTGAGACTAATAAGTCCAAACTACGTCGAATGTTCAAAGGCGTCGAGTTTTTCGACGAGAAACCATCAAATTTCCTCCAACGTCTCCAAAATTTGGCTGGCAACCAAGTGAGTGACACTGTTCTACGTACCTTGTTCTTGGAACACCTGCCTGAACAAGTTAGGGGCATCCTGTCCATCAGTGAGGTAGCGGATCTCACACGCTTAGCCTTGCAGGCAGATAAGATTATGGAAGTCACAAAGCCTACTGTACTTGCCATCGACAAATATCCCAGTTCCAGTGCCTCAACAATAGCATCTAAGTAATCAATCTCCAATAACAGTGACCCGTCGATTACTCTGGAAAACCTCACAGCCCGAATTGATGGCCTAACAAAAAACTTTGAACATCTAGATCAGCATGTCAGAGGCAGAGACCAGTCCAGACACAGAGCACGTTCACGGGAGAGAACATATTCCAGAAATCGTGATGAAGATGAATATTGTTTTTATCACCAGCGATTTGGTGCCAAACCACGCAGCTGTCGTAGTCCTTGCTCCTTCAAGAATAGGCAACATCCTCAGACGTCAAACTAGAGAGGTCTTCAGCGATAGCAAGCGTCTCCAAAGGCTACAATGGCGTCCCACTTGCAAATTCAAGACAAGTCGACCAGACTGCTATTTCTGGTGGACACAGGTGCCGATATTTCGGTTTTGCCCAAGAATAGTCTGAATTCTTCTGTCAAAACTGCAAAACCAGAAACAAACATGAAGCTTTACGCAGCAAATGGCTCGTGGCTCGACAATCGATACCTTCGGAACTACCACGCTGACACTCAATCTGGAATTGAGACGCCCTTATACCTGGACCTTCATTGTTGCTAAAGTCACTCATCCAATACTTGGCGCTGACTTCCTCAGATAACATGGCCTTTGGTGGATCTTCAGAGGAAACGACTTCTTGATGCCAAAACAGAGCAGTCTAGGGTAATACAGCTTGTACACTCTACACAGCCTACAGTTTGTACGGTGAGTTGGCAGCACCCTTTCATTCACCTTTTGAAGGAATTTCCTGGTGTAACAAGGCCAGTAGGATGCAAAGTACCAATTCATGGAGTCCAACATTATATTATGACCCAGGGTCCGCCAGTTGCGGAAAGAGCTCGATGGCTTACTGGCGACAAGCTGCAGGCTGCAAAGGCAGAGTTTAAATTAATGATGGAACAACAACTGTGCGAACCTTCAAACAGTCCATGGGCCAGCCCATTGCACCTTGTTCCAAAAAAATGTGGTGGTTGGCACGCATGTCGAGCCTACCGGCGTTTGAACAAGGTCACAGTTCCTGATCGATACCCAATTCCACATCTGCGAGATTTCACTTTTCAACTTTATGGATGCAACATCTTCTCTACATTAGATCTGTCTCGAGCCTATCATCAGATTCCTCTGGCACCTGAAGATCGACCTAAGACTGCAGTCATAACACCTTTTGGACTCTTTGAGTTCAAGGTGATGACTTTTGGTCTTTGTAACGCGACTCAGTCTTTCCAGAGAATGATGGACTAGATCTTTCGAGGACTTGATTTTTGCCATGTTTACATCGATGACATTCTAATTGCCTCAAAGTTTTCAACTGAACATGAGGCACATCTCCGCACAGTGTTGAACAAGCTGCAACAACACGGACTCTCAGTTAACACACACAAGTGTTTTTTCGCTCAATCAGAGGTAACTTATCTTGGCTACACTGTAGGCAGGAAAGGCATAAAACCTCCGCCAAAACGTGTAGAAGTAGTAGAGTCCTATCCAAAACCACAGACGGTTGCGGAACTGCGCAGATTTCTTGGTTCCTGGAACTTCTACAGACTCAATATGCCTCATGCGGCTGAAGTTCATGCTCCACTTGTTGATCTCATTCCACCAGGCTCCAAGAAGAATAACAAGCGTCCGGTGCTGTGGACCCCTGAGGCAGATGAAGCTTTAGTTCGCTGCAAGGAGCTTCTTGTCAATGCCATCCAGCTGGCATACCCAGCATCTGAGGCTGAGCTTTCACTCCACTGCGATGCTTCTGACAAGGCTATAGGTGCTACATTGGATCAAACAGTCAACGGCATCACACAACCTTTAGGTCTCTACACCAAAAAGCTTTCCAAAGCTGAGAGGGCCTACAGCGCCTATGACCGCGAATTGTTGGCTATTTTTAGGGGGGTGGAGTTTTTCAAACACTACATTGAAGGGCGCAACGTGACAGTCTACTCTGACCACAAACCATTGTCATATGCTTTTACACACAGCTCCGAGAAAGCATCTCCTAGACAGCAGCGACATTTGCAATACGTTAGTCAATTCACGACAAATATTGTCCATGTTTCTGGTGAATCCAATATCGTTGCCGATGCGTTTTCAAGGATCAACGCAATTCACATGCCTGTTATTGTTTCCACAGCAGAAATTGCTAACCACTAAGCAAACGACGAACAGCTTCGACATCTGCTTAGCTCTAATACCACTTCATTGCAGTTAAAAGAACTAAGAGTTGACAACACCGAAACGACTATCTTCTGCGATGTCGCAGGAGATCGTGTCCGCCCCTAAATTCCTGTGGTACTACGACGACGCATCTTTGACAACGTGCATAACTTGTCAGATCCTAACGGACGAACAACTAAGAAACAGATTCAAGAGCGTTTCGTCTGGCCACACATGTACAGAGACATCATACAATGGGCACGGACCTGTCTACCCTGTCAGCGAAGTAAGGTTCATCGTCACACTAAGAATGCTCCGCTGAAGATTGATATTCCTTCAATCATGTTCACATGGACATTGTCATTATGCCACCACGCCAAGGTTACAGCTACTGCATGACCATGATCGACCGATTCACACGTTGGCCAGAAGCTATTCCTCTAAAAGATATCTCAGCAGACACCATTGTCAACACCTTCTTCAACGGATGGGTCAGCCCTTTTGGCGCTCCTGTTACTATAACTAGTGACAGAGGCTCACAGTTTGAATCCAGATTGTTCAATGCTTTGGCGAAACTCATTGGAAGCAACCGTACCCGAACGACGGCTTACCATCCTGCTTCGAATGGTATGATTGAACGTTGGCATAGATCATTCAAATCAGCAATCAGGTGTCAAGTTTCAAGTAACTGGGTCGATACCTTGCCAGTTGTACTGCTGGGACTGCGAGCTAGCATCAAAGAGGACCTTAAAGCCAGTGTAGCTGAAATGCTTTATGGTACAACACTTCGATTACCAGGCGAGTACTTCATCGACGAGGAGGTTGGTCCTGAACCTCAAATGATCATCGAAAAATTTCGGGTGATGATGAGAAACCAGCGCTCAGCCCCAGCCGCGAATCACTGCAGAGCAAGAAGCCACTTGAAGCTCCATACCGTGGACCTTGGGCAATTATCGAAAAACTAAATGATTAGGTTTTCAAAATTGATTTGGATGGTACTCCTACAATCATATCTACTGAGCGACTGAAACCCGCATTTATTGAGGTCGACCGATCAACCGGGACGACAACTGCAACCAAAGTTGCAGCTCCAGTTATTTTTCCGTCAGTAGACGCTACAACTCCGGCATTGATACCAGATAACTTGACCCTACCGGAGCCGTCATCTTCCCAGTGTTTCCCAATTTCGATTCTTAAACCAGCGGTGCGCACTACACAGTCGCAACTACGTACATATCCTCCGGCCAAGTCCAAAAGTGTTTAATTCGTGGCTACTCATACTTCGCGCCACTCAGGGGGGCTACCTGAAGGCACTCACTTATATTTGTCCGATAGGATTTTAGATTTTTAGGTTTTTAGGTTTTTAGGAAAAGTTCCTGTCACGCATGTAAGATGAAAGCGGAAGGGGGATTCAGTGACAAGACCAGCATTGATGACGTAAGCAGTTTTTCGGCTGCCATAATTTAGTAGTCTTCTCATGCTTTTAGTTCAAGTTTTGATAAAGTAAAAGTGCCGCAATATTACACCGCAGTTCTTATTAATATATAGCAAAATTTACATAATTTTGTGATGAACTATGTTTTTTGATTGTGCTCCACAAAATTTAATTATAATTGGATATGAAATAATGTATTTAAGATGTAAAATTCTAATCACGTTTTCGGTTAGGGTAAAATATTACGAAAGTTGTTCATTTTTTGATGGTCATAGAAAAATAATTATTTTTATTTTATAAATAGAGTTGAAACGAATAGCTCAATTTCTAGATTGTCGACAACAAATCAAATGGTTCTACCTACAATTTCTAGAAGACTATAATAAATTTGTAAAAATATATATTTTTTGTTTGTATTTTTAATACCATTGCATTTATGGATGATGACTTGGACCATGATATTCTATAAGGATTATTGATTTTTCAAATCACGTCCAAAAACACGAATGCAATAACAGTCGATCAACCTTCATGAATCGATTCTAGAACAGAAACAGTTTCCTTTTTATGATTTTTTCAATGAAACTGTTTCCGTCATAAAAACTAAGAAAATAAAAATGACACATGATATTCAGAATAAATTGAAGAAGATATGCACAACGTATTTTTTTGTACAGGGCAACGGTAGGTATAAAAAGTAAAAAGATCCTAAAAATAACGTTACAATCTAAATTCATACAACTATCTAAAAAAAGAATGTAGGTAACATCATGAAAATATCTCCTAAATTTCAGAAAATCACAAAAAAAACTGGCTTCCTAACAGAGATTTTCAAATTTTGCAAGAAATCAAAACACTATGTTACCAATAAATTAATTATGCTAAATATTAACAGGCCGAAGGTTAGATTTTCTCTACTCTGGCTCGAGAAACTTTTAACTGAAACAAAAGAAAAAGGGCTCTGTTTATCGGTTCAATCAGGAGAATGCCGACCAGAAAAATTTGATTTTTTAAATTCCTACTGTGTGTATCACAAATGGATCACTCACCCAATAAAAGCGCCTCTCGCATATCCCTCATGACTGGCACGGTTTTAACTACAGTCTCTGTGTCCTCACTGAAAAGTACTGGAGCTATCGATGCTACGCACTTCACCCTCATTGAACCTCCCAGGAAATGGCGGTTGCTAAGGGTAAATCTTAAACCCAGAGTAGTCGTGACTAGGCCTTGAGCATGGTGTTCTATAGGGTATTGCATAAGAGCTTCTGATTTCTGTATCTGAAATAATATTAACCTCAATTTTATTATTCTTCAAAAATCTACTTCTTAACTTTGTTACCTATTATAAAGTTAAAATTAGTTATTAGTTATCACCTGTTGTTCGTTTATGTACCAATGAAGTATCGACGCCGGTCGGCTCCGTCCCGAAGTACAGTTCAGGTTTATCTCATCTCCGCTTTGATATTGTTCCTCGACACCGGAAATTATCGGATCTTCTTCCGGAAGGGCTGAAATTAATAAAGTCCCTCTTTATTATGCGACGCTCTCGTTTTGAGGCTAGTCAATTTTTGCTTTTTTTTTGGTTAGACATTAGACATAAAACTAATCTACTTATAGGAAGGCGTGTTATAAAGTTCAGGACCAATAAATGAATTTTCAGTTGGGAGTTTTAATACTCTGTAGGTGCTCGAATCTTTTTGCGATGAGAGCCATTCTGCTACTGTGATAATGTTATCAGAATAATATGTATAAAGATTATAAAGCTGAAGTAACACTTCTACGAAGGCTAAAGGAATTTATAATTATAAATCATTTACTAGATCAGGAAAAATATGTCCAATTATAACTAAAAACCGAACAGGATGAAAATAATAGTTATTTGTTGGGAAAAGCACTATAATTCGTAACGAACTGATTTCTCCGCAAAGTTACGAAAAATAGTGTTTCCCAAAGTGTTTCACGTAATGTTTTTTCTAATTTTCAGATGATGATTTGAGAAAATATGAAAAACGCTCTCCAAATATTTATGTTTAAATCGTCAAGCGCCAAGTGTGAGTTCGGAGATGTCAAGTCTGCATCTCTAATTTTCGAAAAAGTGAACAATAATAATTATTATTGTTCTTATACAAACCACTCAAACTTTATAACCTTAAGAAAAGTCCAGTTGCTGTAAAATCCACTTTACACATCTGTGAGGATCATTTTAACGTAAGTTTTTAGGTCCCAAATATGGAACATTACTTCTATTGTTTTTTTTTTTAATGTTTACCCAAATCATAATTTCCAATAATAATTTAATGTGATATATTTTCATTTTTACCCATCTTTGAGGGCACATATTTAAAAGACAAAAAAAAAAGAACTGCTAAGGAAAATTGATCAAATTCAAATTTTGTGTAAAAATATGCTTCGTAACGTAAAGGTCTCCCAGTTAATTAGTGGTTTAGCAGTTAGGGCTTGAGTGCTCGACCTCTTTTGGTACTACAAATAAGGTACCTCACTCAAATAAGGCCACGTACCTAATAAGGCCAGTGCCCTTTATTGCTTAATATTGAATTCCATTTTCAGAAATTGAAATATTATTAAAAAAGGAATCTATAAAGCGAATCAAAAATTATTGCGAGGGCCTACCAACTTGTTATACGTCGAATAACGGCCAACCACATATTTCATATGTCACGTTATAACTTTGAGGCTGGGACTTAATTAGTTCATACACATGGTTTTAAAGTGAATAGAGCGATTGTAATTTTTTAACAGACATTTCTGTATTCAGAAAGCTACAGAGTAAGTATAGAATATGTAATATCTTTGCTAGATTTCTAGTTACATACTTTTTTTTTATCAATTTAACATGTTCTAATAGGACCATACGAAAAATGTTCAATTAGTCTCACATCACAGCGTTTTTTCAAAAAAATAAGTATGTCATATTATTACCTAAGTGATGTTTTTTAGAATGCCTGGAGTCTACCCTGGCAAGAAAAGCTGCGGCTCATTTGTCCTAGTTGTATGTGGACCTATTTGGATCACGATTCGAGAACTTAGAATTATTGCTTTTTTAGAATGCAGCAAACGTTTTAGTTCTATTTTGTGTACTATTTCTCAAATATTAATCTTTTTATAAATAATTGTATTTATTTTAAACATTTTCAAGGGTGGCCTTATTAGAAGCATAGTGATCCAAATAAGGCCAATGGTAAATAAATTGGGGTTAATATTCAAGTAATAGAAGCGGAACACTTCACATATAAGCTCATGGTTTTTGTTGGGTTTGGTGGATAATGTTAGGAAAAAAAAATAAAACTTCTTAACTTGGCCTTATTTGAGACAGGTACCATTAAAACAAAAAAAAAAAACAGAAGAAGAAACCCATTTGAGGAAATTTAACATAATATTCTACAAAAATTGCTCTTCTATAGTTCTACGAATAGGTTTTTTTAATTGTAGGAATAGTGCTTAGCCCCCATTTTAGAGGCCGAAGTATTTTTAAAAGATCTATTAAAATCGATAATAAGATTAATTACTTAAACCTTCAAACATTTAATAAGTTATTATGTAAAAGGTGGAAAAGTTTCATGAAAATTCTCTTTTCAGTTGGTGCTAATGAAGCATTGGACCCCAATGCTTGGAAGAGACATTAAAAACAAAATATATACAAATACCATTATAATATCAAAAAATACAATAATATCCTAATCCTAAAAATATCCCTTTTTTACAATAATAGCCTAATTATAAAATATCCCTGCTTAACAATTATATAATCCAAATATCGCGTATAGAAAAAAAAAATTAAAAACTAAAATTAACAAAAGTTTTTTATGGTGGGATGGGTCAGGGTGCATTATTATTCAGGTTACTACAAAAAAAAATATCTTACAACTAAGACCAAGTACTTCTTGGTGGGTGAGCTAGATCGTGGGGTGATATCGGTCCCACGGTCTAAGTGTCATTTCCTGGTGTAGTATAACATACCCGGGTTCGTTCAGTAAGATTGAACGATGAGAATTTTTATTACCTTTTAAACAACAAATCTTCTGCAAAATGAAATGCAAAACAAATAGGACCTACGTTGTGAAAACTTACTCAATTTTACTTACTGGACATGCGCCCGATATAGCAAATATTTGGGAAATTTAAGGGAAGTTGTGATATGTAAAAGAAACGAAAAAATTGTGAAACGTCTCCTTTATTATCAAAGAAAAACGTACCGTTCTCGACCTAGAATTCTCGAGGGAAAAGAGAACGGCAGAGAAAACCTCGATCTAACATTCCTCAAAAATCGAAACATACTGTGTCATTTTAATAATAATTGTGAGTCATTAATTCAATAATTTAAGTCAATAAAAGTTTAAATTAGGTACCGTCCCTGTTCTTGTGCTAAAATTTCAATTACACACACTACATTCAATCACACTACCTATATTCAATACTAAAGAGTTTTGATTAGTTAGCCCATCTCTGGCAGGTACCGAGGTCCCTGGTTACGTAAACTCACGGCTATAGTTGTTTTTGAGCCAATATCTCTTTCCTTTGTTCGGTAGAATATTCGCTCGTCAGGATAGGAAAATGTTAGTCAATTCAACAAGGCCCTAATGCACGCTCTGAATACACAAAATCAAAATCTCAGCACAAAAAGACAGCACATAATTTCTTAGGTTTTAATTTACTCTTTATCTGTGTTGTTTACAGCATGAAACGATTTTGGTTAAATACATAAACAATGCACATGTTATAAAAAATGTTATAAACAAACAAAAAATACATAAAAATGAACAAAATAATAGGAACTTGCATAAATTAAACTCTCAAAAATAAAATTACATTTAATCCACCAACCTGTGAACTCTCCTTGACACACACACTAATAACAATTTGGATTGAACAATCAATTTTAATGCAAAATAGAAATGAAAATTGAATAATGAATAATTACAGACACGCGTTTAAAGCGAACAGCCCCAGCTTCTTCTAAAGTCCAGTTGCGTATTTTCTTCTACCTCCTCTTCGGTTTCGGTAACTTCGTTTTTCCGTGGCGCGCCCCGTTCAAATGTAAACTTGATGGCGCATACAAGCTTGCAACATTTACTTTTATCCAGTAACCGATTTTTAAAAGTTAAAATTTGAAGAAATAATATTTTAAATAGGTGGTTTTCCTCACTGGTTTGTTAGGCTTCTTTTTTGTTCATTGTGCTGTATTCTGTCTTTCAAGTGGATTGGTTCTGGCTCCAAGTACTTCCTGGTGATTTGTTCATCTGGGTCGTGGGTTTGCCCGGCCCCACGGCCCAAGTAATCCTTGATCATTTCTTTTGTGAGTATAGTGGAAATGGTACTGTGGTCTGTCTACTTTTGGTCCATACCCATTTGTTTCCTCTGGTTTGAAGTTCCTAGCCCCTACTCGGTCCAGAGCTAGATTCTTTTATTACAATGACTTCCATCGAATTCGTTTTGTGGTTCGTCCCTGGCTAATGGTTTTGTATATACATGCAAAAAAAAAAATGCTTAATATACAAAAAAAAAAAAAATGCTTATTCCCGAGCTTATTCCTATAATTAGTTTAATTATGATCCACATCCGGGCCTGCAAATTTCATCATTTGGTTATTTGTTGATCATGGCTCCAACAGGTAAGTTTAGTCCAACTTGTTTTTTGTATACCCATATGCCTTATTTTTGCAGCTAGTACTTTTCTAAGATCCTTTCGGCGGCTTCTTCCGTCGATAAGAATATTTCTTCTTCTTTTATAGTAATTCACATTCTCTATCTTCCCTTAGGCCGAATTACTTCGCTATCGAGCATTTCCTGAATTTGTTCGTCAATAATCTGTCTTTCTTTTTGAGACACTCTGTATGAGCGGCTCTTTATTGGGCGACCCTCTCCGACGTCTACTATGTGTTTTGTTAAGTTTGTCTTTCCCATATGTTTTGTAGATTTCGCGAAAACGACGTTGTATTCCAGAAGGAGTTCTTTGAGTTCATGCCTATTCTTCTCGTTTGTGATGCTGTCTAACTTAGGATCTTCCATTGTTATTTCTTCGCTCTCTTCATTTTTTTCTGCTTGCAACATGAAATTGTGTGAAAGATTTGTCTCTGATGCTGTTTCTGCCAAAAATGCCATTGTGGTTCCGGCGTATAGGTATAGCTACTGGGTTCCTTGTGTTTGATTGTACTTTTAAAATGAGGCTACCATTGGTGTGAATGTGTGTTTTTAGTTCAAGATGATTTTTTGCTAACCAGTCTAAATTATATTTGCATTTATACATAGTATTATCTTTAATATCATTAGGTTTGCCCATAATATCTAATTCCAATGTTTTTAACTCATTCTGAGATACCGTCTAAACTTTTTTTGTACCCAATTCATATGTGTTTTTCTTAGTTTCTGTACCGATTTGCATCAGATGCCTGATTTCTTCTTCCTGCTTTTCTTCTTTAATTTTATACCCAGGTTTTTCCCTATGAATGTGAATTTGGACCCCTGCATCTTTAAATAGAAAATATATCATC